AAGGCAGACAAATGGGTCCTTGAACAGATCAAGCATGAGCTCTTCCTGGGAGCCAAGATGATTAAATGGAGGCTATCATACTTTGGCTACATCATGAGAAGGCACGACTTATTAGAAAAGACAATAATGCAAGAGATTATTGCTGTAGCTGCGTCCTATGGAATCCTGGAATTTGTAGTCTTTAGCCTTCTCTGCCAAAGAGTGCTGGTGCCTCACCAAACTACAAATCCCAGGGTTCTGTTGGTGGAGCTGTGGCAGTTAAAGTGGTATCAAACTGCATTATTTCTTCAATGTAGATGTATCCTAGCTCATCACTGCTCACCAAGGGCTCTGTGGGCCATGGGGATCATGGGGAATTGCAGTTCAGCCACTTTGTTGTGATCACAAGCCACCCATCACGTCTTATTCTGCTGTCTTCCAAAGACAGTAGTGGTTATGTGTGGCTCTCCATACATACATTGTGGTCTGGCACTGCATCTCCTAGCATTCCTCACTGTTGGGAGGTTTTCTGGCTAGGGCTGATGGATATTGCAGTCAAGTAACATCTAAAATGCTGTAGTTTCTTTGCTCATGTTCCAGGCCTTTAAGCCAGTTTTGGGTGTATGTCACAAGCCAACAAAGAACAAATGAAGTTTCACAATGATGGGATGCATTAGTGCACTATGTGGAGTCCACCCCAGGCCTAAACCTGATGTATACAAATAGGTTCTGCCATTTCAGACACCTTTTGAATATGTAGGTCTTTCTTATGAACCCTGATTGTCTCTCCTGTCTTCTTTATTCCTGTTCCATGCCCCTTCACTTGTGTTACCAGGAATTATATTGAAATAATTAAAGGATAAAATTATTAAAAGCTAAGATGGGAGATAGTTTCCAAGATTCTAATATAGATACTCTAGTCTACACCAATCGTTTAGGGGTTTTGTAGAATGGAGAGGGAGAGATGTGTTTACCACAGGAATGGGAAATATTGTTAAGTGTCTGAACTGAAAAAAAGTAAAATAAATTCATTGCTGTCTCCCATATTGCAAAAATCAAAGACTTTGTGTAACCAGAAATGGGTCTTTTGTAGCCTTGGCTTATGATAGACCTCAGATTCTAAGTGTCAGATCTTTTGTATACTTAGAAATTTGATACTAGCTTCTTGGAATTTGACCTGGGTGTTTTTCCAGACTCATACTAGGCTAGTTTATTTTTTCGATAGACCGTGTTTGTCCAAGATGGCATAATGTGGATTAGTTACCTGGTAAAGTTCATTAACCACTGTTCATATTTAGAATTGGAATTAAGAATGATAAAAACATTGATAATTTCCTAATTCATATTTAGAGGTGGAGTGGGAAATCTGACCCATAAAGTTGAGGATGCAACCAGCTTAATGAGGATGAGGATGAGTTTTTCAATTGAGCTAGAATAGAAGAGAGGAAAACAATGTGTATTATTTACATAAATCAGGCGTGGTCGACCTCAATCAATCATACTTTAATATGTTTTTTGGGTTCTCCCCCCCCCCCTTTTTGTTTCTTAGAAGATATCTTGAGCCACCATTTTGCTTCTGATTCAACCAATGGATCATTAGTTGGCTCAAGTTATCTGCTGCTCAAGATAATAATTATCTGCTCAACATAGTTATCTATGGCTCCTCACTAACCATATACCTACATATGCAAGCTAGTGAATCATTATGTTGTAAGACCTAGCATAGTATTAGTATGTTTTGCGTGTTAAATTTGGACTTCATGAAACCAAGGTTTGAATATTTGCTCAGCCACAGAAACTTGTTGGATGACCCTGAGCAAGTCACTCTCTCCCAGTCTTAGAGGAATGCAATAACAAACCACCTCTGAAGAAACTTACCAAGAAAACCCCATTATAGGGTCACCTTAAGTCAGAAATGACTTGAAAGCACACAACAACAACAAAGAGCACTGGACCAGGGAGATCAAAATTCAGATCAGCACTTGGCTACAGAATTTGCTAAGGAAGGGGGGTTGCAGACTGTCAAAAATAGTGTGAATTCAGTCCACTTTTAGGGTTAGGGTTAGTGCTAGGGAATCATGGCAATTGTTATTTTTCTGAGACATTGAACCTTCTTTGTCAGAGAACTGTAGTGCCACAATAAAATTCAGTTCCCATGATTCCCTAACCTTAACCCTAACCCTAAAAGTGGACTGAATTCACACTATTTTTGACAGTCTGCAACCCCAAGAAGTTTGGGCTTGTCTCTCTTTCATGTCATAAACTTTCAGGATTTTTAGGATAAAAGAAGTAAGTAGTTGGAGCTCCTTGAAAGGAAAGTAGAATATAAATGTAGTAATAACAATAGTTCAGTAGTGTAGTGCTCAATTTTGAAGTGCAGGTGCTCCTCATAACAGTCCCAATAGTTGTACTTCTCTATGTATATGTATTATGTACATGGCAGGGTATATAGCATTATTATTATTATTATTATTAAAGTTTATTTCTAGAGCGCTGTCAGTGTACACAGCGCTGTACAAAAGGACAAACAAGCATAAAATAGAATAAAAACCTGCCAAAGGTGTACAATCTAATACAAAACAATAGGTAAAATAATAAAAGTCAATAAAAAAAAAAGAATTACAACATTTAGTTAACAACATCCACTGTAATTAGCATATTGCCTAATTAGGATCCATTTACAGTCATAGAATAGTTAGGTGGCAAAATGCAGTGTAATAGTATATTGGATGGCGAGAGCCAAGATTATTTAAGAAAGGAAAAGAAAGAGACACAGCGTTCCTAAAGAGGATAAGCTCAAGATTTTCCAAGTGTTTCTTTTCCAAACACCAGCAAGAAGTCAACAAAGCCTTAAGTGAACAGGCAATTCTTGAGTAATGTTAATGGAACTTACAGGGTTATTCAATACTAATTTACTCTAAAATACCTTGTATTACAACAGGAATAGCTCATGACAATATATTGCTGATGTAAAAATTTATTCACACACTTCTCAGGTATTCTGAATATTACAGTTAAGCTCAGAGAGAACAGGGGAGTTTCAGGTGCATGGCTGATGAAGTTACTGTCCTTGCTAATGAAAGGTCCTAATTTTTCCTGGCTTCATTCACTACAGTATCAAAGTTACTACAGATCAGGGATTGTAAGGGCCTAGACTAGAGTGGAAAGTACTGTATTTTGATATTGTTAAACAAGTGGAAGTCAGAAACGTGTCAGTCATGCACCAATAAATCATGATCTACGTTCTGCCTATCCTGCTGTAAAAAAGAAAGTTTGTATTTATATGATCTGAAGAGAAATTGGTATAGTATGGAAGAGTATAAGCATTAAACATA